GTGCAAATATGAAAATCATAGAGGAATCTAAGGTATGAAATCCTCTTCCATTCAAAAGAAGAACAAGAAAAACAGTCTTATAAATCATGGATGTTGCAAAAACGCTGGAGAGTAGTCAGTGCAGCCTGTGTTCGAGTTTGATGGAGAAGTTGTAGCCAGATACTTGCTAAAACTGAATAAAATTATATGATGAGAATGCAATAATAATAATAATTTAAAAAAAGGGGCAAAGCTCGCTGAGCTTTGATCCCCTGAAAGATTCTGTAGAGGTGATTTGGGAGGAGAACTTGCCAGTAAGTAGAAAACGGTTAAAACTGATGCGCAAACAGAAGATGTACTAGTTTAGTTTAAGAATGGTCTGGATCAGCTTTTTTTCCCCTGGTAGCCAATGCAGTTAATGAGGAAGGAATATAAGGGGTTTGTCTTGATTTTTCCAGGGTTTCTGCCATTGTCTGGGTTCATGTTAAAAACAGGGTACTGAAACAAGATCTAAACCCAATTTTTGTGAGATCTTGTACAGCTCATTGAAAACTTGTTTTTTGAAGCAGACTTGTAAATAATTTGCTTTTAAAACAGAGATGCCAGGAAGTGTCCTCCTGTTGAGTTCTATTATGGATGTGCATTCATTTATTTTTTTTCTGTAATGGTCAACACAGATGTGATATGCTGCCAAGTTGGAAGGCTTGAGAGCACTGTACAGCTCAGGGTCAGAATTCAAAATGATTGTGAAGATTGATAGCAGATCGGAAGTCAGTGTAATTAAACTTGGTTAGCAAGAACTGGGGGAGGAAGAGAACACAGGAAGAAATCAAAGGCATAATTAGTGGCAAGGGTAGTACTGAACAGCAAGTAGCATCCCAAAAAAGCATTTGAGCACTGTAATGTATAGTAAGTGAAATATTAATTGATAATATGATGTCCTTGCAGTCAGACAGACGTTATTTTGGCATGTTAGCAAATGATATTAAATATAAAGACAAGGAAAGTGATTGTGCTGCTGAGCCTTGGCTAACATGGTATGGCTAATTTTTGTTAGCCTCAGTATGTAGATCTCTAGACTCCACAAGAGTTATTAACACTTTGGAAGCGAGTGATTAAATAGCCTTTAAGCTCTCTGTAGAGCAAGGGAAGAAACCATGCTTGTTTTTTAGAAGGTATTACTTGGGTTGGATGGTAAAGCAAAACATTTGGCTTTTAGATTGAGGAAACACTGAAGCTGGCTGTCCACAAAGATTGTGCAGTTTCTTTTGTTGAAGTAGAATGCTTGGACAGGTGTCTATTGAGGACAGTCTCAAAGGTCCTTACAGGTGTGCATTTAAACAGTTCTCTGTGTACTAACATGGTGGAATTAGAAATTTTAATTGGCGAAAACTGCTTTGGAATCTGCAGCAGTTCCCTTGAACTGGGATTTTTGTGGAGCTTTATTAGGAAGGGATCATGACGTATCGTTCTCCTTTGCAGTATGTTGTGGAGGAGCATGTGTGTATTTAGTGAAGGATTTGATTTCAGGTATGCGCCTCAAGTGTCTTCCACTGGTATACTGAGAATAACCTGTTTTGATTGTGAAAGGTAGACTATTGAACCACTTAAATCCATTTCACTCTGTTTATAAACTGTATGTTTGTTAAAACATCTAATGGCTGCTACTTCACAGGGATATTCTCTGGAAGGAACAAACTTCTCTGAGGAAGATGCTGAGGGATGAAGAGTGCAAGGCAGGGTGGAAAGCTTGGCTTCTGCTTTGTCTTGACCAGAGGATGTGCATGCCATATAGTGGAAAGTGGCGAAAGTGTGTATTGGTCATGTCATTAAGGCATCAATATACTAAATGTTGTTAATATGGAAACAGTAGCCTATTAATGATCTTTTGGAATAATTGAATTGGAAATTTAAAGATGTTTCCAGCCAATGCTTCTATAGATGCAGTGTGTCTTTCCATTTTTCAGCACTTATCAAGGAGAAGGGCATCTAGACAGATTACTTGTTTTTACACATCTTGAAAAGAAAATTAGAAAAAAACAATTCTCATTCTTTTATCATCTTGGGCTGAGAAAATGTTTTGGTTTGTGGTTTTGTTTTATTTGGTGACTTAAGTTATTTTTAATGTTAAGTATTTGTCTTGTCCAAAATGATGTAGTTGTACTTCTGCTAGTAAACCGCTCAGAAGTGTTATTTGAGTGAGCTGGCCTCTTACTGTATTGGTTTTCCTTAGTAATTCTATCAGCTTTCTGTTTCTTAGAGTATTGGGAAGCTTCAGAAAACTATCCAGAATGTATTGTTACTCAGCTGGTTAAACAGAAGTTCTGTTGTGAAAAACTGACTTGATTACTTCAACTCATTAGTTCAAATTAAATTCAAGATTTTCAGTCTACCACATCACTGACACACACTTTGTGGCTGTCTTATTTGCCAGGGGTGGTTTGGGCTTAAAATTTGGATCTTGAGTAGCTTTGCCTGCTAGATTGAAGGAAACAAGCTCAGTAAGACAGTAAGAAATGTGGATGGTGTTTCTTGCTATGTATTTCAGACCCCCCCCAAATGTATGCCTCAAACTCTTGTGAATCAGTGCAATACAAATCTTGGGAGTGTTAAGTTATCCAGAACTTCCCTGTGCACGTACTGAAACTTATAAGAAACCTCAATGTTGTTGTCTTGAGATTGTGTACTTTAAAATTCTAGTAATTTTTTGAAAAAGCATGTTTAATCAACTTTCCGAGATAATCTGTGTATAGTGTAACTTCTGTGGTTTACCTTATTCTGGTGAGTTTTGATGGGATGTTTGTATGCTCCCTATGTCTTAAAGTTGGGGTTTTCATTAATCTGACAATAGCTATTTCTAGGAATGAAGATGTGACTCTCAGATATGGAGTTTTTTGTTATTTTTCTCTTGAAGTCAAAATAATATAGGAGTGTGAAGACTTGCTGGTGATGATATTCAAGAGATGTTTTGTATCAAGTGAATAATTTAGCTTTAACTTGAAGTTGAATTTTCTATATATCTTTTGAAAGGGGTGAAAACCAACATTGGTTTCTGTATAAATCTGAGAATTAAAATGATTGCAACTCAACCTCTCTTAGTTGGTTTATTGTCACAAAAGTAACATAGCGCAGCCTTTGGACTAGTAAGTGATTTGAGCTTTAAAATTCATGAATCCAAGAGTGCTTAACAAGCATAGCTTGAACTTTGGTGTGGGATGGGGCTTGGACTAGATGATTTTTGAAAGTCCCTTCCACCAATCCACACAGTTCTGTGATTCTGTGAAAAATGTTTGGTTTTCAGGTAGCTGTGAAGTAACAGTTTTAGAATTTTTTTGCAAGACACTTTTAAATTCTTCAAAGATTAGAATACTTGTGACACTGTGTTTTATTGAAGTTGCTATCGATTTAAAGTTGTATTAAGTAGCAACAACACTATTTATTTTCTAGTTTATAATCTATTCCACAGATATACAGGTTTATGGTGTAGCCAATTGAAAAGAGAACAGCTATGTTTTAAAGAGTCTCTTGTAAATACCTGATAAAAGTTTTAAAACAGATAATGCAATATTTAAATACAGTGACTAGGAACGATTTATGTGCTAGTGTCTTGTTATAGGAATGCCTAAATGGTTTGCCTCTTCACTTTATTTTATAGGTTTTTTTGGGTTTATTTTATTTTATTTTAAACCTCTTCTGCTTGGGCAAGGACTTTTAAACATGAGTCTTTTTTTTTTTTTTTTTTTTTTTAATTGGAGGGCATTAGGATTAGTATATATGTGAATTATATGAATATATGTGTGATAGCTGTAGGATTAGCTGTGTAGTGTTAACCCACTCTTCTGAGAGGATGGTGAGCCAATAGAAAGTGTTTGGTGTGGACAGTGATGTACACTACAGAATTCGGATTTCCTGCATAAAACAAAGAGGTTTCAGCTGCATAGTTACTCTTGCATCCAAAACCTTGTCTCTGCCTTGTATCACTTCTGTAGTGGGCAAGGCTTGGACCTTGTGGATACCTGCCCCTCATTTCCTATCTAGGCGAGATACTGAACACTTTTGCTGAGATTAGCAGACTGCAGTATGATGTCATGCGTGTAAGCAGAGGATTAAAAATAACATCTACTTCCCTGACTCTTGAGTGCTTTACATTTAATTTTAAGCTTTAATGTAATTCCTTTTTTTTTTTTTAAAAAAAAAAAAGTATTTTAAGCTACTTTCTAGGAAGGTATAAGGTGTTCTATACTATATAAAACCCAACACCATTATGTTGTTGTATATATGGCAGTAGTCTAGGTGTTGAAACTGAATGTGATTACTTGAGCAGTGCAAGTCTCAGGTTAATGATTCCAGATGAAGTTGTGAAGTTAGGGAAATGAACACAGCACTGCACCAGCTACTAAGAAGGAGAAAAATGACTGCTACAGCTGAGCCCAGGACAATGTGGCAATAATCAATCCATACCAAATTTAGGCCTACGAGATTTGTTTAAACTCTCATTTCCTGTTTTTTAAGGAGATCTCCAGGAGGGCAGGCTTGCTCTAGCCTTCTGAGTAGGCTTCTGAACTTGCAGATTAAGAAAACTTACTTTTTTGTGGAATGGAAATGAAGCTGTATTGCTGGCCTTGAAATCAACAGGATCTCTTTTAATTTCTGAAAACCGAATCCTGAAACTCTGATTAACTCTGTATGTGTGAATTAGAGTGATACAAGTAATATATGTTCTATGAATTTCAGTTGGGTAGTGAATTTTAAAGGAGGCAGTTTACATGTATGTGGAACCTCTTACTTAAAGATTATGTATAAAGTAAAAATTGTTTTTATAAATCTATGAATAAAAGGTTCTACAGACATGGAAAAATATATCCATGTATATGTATAAACTACATAATCTGTAGACTATTATGTAAGTGCAAGGCCAAAGAATTGAAGAGTCTATGTAAACAAACAACTGTTTAATTTTCCTGTCAAACTAAAAATGTATCAACTCTTTTTTTTTTTTTTTTTTTCTCTCCCCACTAGAAATGACTACCCCAAACAAGACACCACCTGGTGCTGATCCAAAGCAGTTAGAGAGGACTGGTACTGTTAGAGAAATAGGCTCACAAGCAGTTTGGTCTCTTTCATCCTGTAAGCCAGGTAAAATCTCAACAAATGGCATAAAAAGCTGAATGTACATTTGTCTTAGAATACATAGTGGTTTATGTTTTGATAAGAAGACATGCATACAGAGTGTAGCAGTAAAACTGCTGTTGTGTAAGCTGTATGGGTAGCCACTACAAATAACTTTGATCTAGTCTATATTTGATGCAATATGAAAGTTAAAACTCTCTCAGAAATCCTATGATGAGGAAATCTCATATTAACTAAAGAGATCTTTAACCAGTTCTATACTAAATAGTTTTGTGTATTTTGGATTTTTTTTTTTTTTTTTTTTCCTTGCAGCGTTGAACAAACTAAGCCATGTAAGCAGAAAACCAGCAGTGTGTGATTGTTTCTGCGTTGTCATTTTGCCTGGGTATCTTGTATTTTTAACTTAGGAAACCATGCAGCTGGGCAACCTAAATGTTCTGTCCAAACTTTGTGTTGACTCAGTCATTATAGTGTAGCTCCCTAAAATCCTGGAAGTGAAATGAAACTATTGTAAATGTTCCTGAGGTGCAGTTAATGATAGATTATACTTGCTCAAAATACTTGAAAATCTGTGTTGTTTTCATTCAGGGTGGCTGAGTTGCTGTTTTAGAAGTCTCTGCTCTGGGAACCAATCTGGTATCTTGCTGCAGCTTGGACTCAGTGGTGACCTCTGTGTCACAATATTGTGCTCAGGCTGAATGTCTGGTCTGATATGCTGGTATCTTACTAGGAGAAGAACATTATATGGTTTGTTTATGGCTTATTTTCAGAGTGAAAATATTTATTTTATTGCAGATTAAACTTCAACTGCTGAATTAAAACTGCAGCTAGTGTGGGCAATCAATAAACATGTGATTAGTAAAAGGACATAATGAGGGAATGGAAAAATACAGATTTAGAATTGTTCCTTTAAATGTGATGGCATTCACTTTCAGGAATACTGTTTTAGGCATCTATTGCTTGTTCTAGCTACTAACTTGAAAAAGTCAAAATATTTCAGAAGACTACTTCAAAAGAAAATGTTATATTTGGCCAAAATTTTATAACAGATAAATGGTCTCTGCTATGATTCTCCTTTAGTTCAGCAGTTAGATTATAGAATAGGTGGAAAATCCTAACCATTAAGTATTGTTCTTGCAATTAGTATGAACTGCTACTTAACCATTTGAAATTCCAGGATGTGTTGGATGGTTTCAAACTCCACAGACTACAACAAGAGATAAAAATGTAAAGACACTCAAGTACTAAGCTTTGATTGATAGATTCCCCTGTTTGTTTTGTGTCACAAAAGTATAGGCTCGATTTGTGTGTCTAGAAATATTTCCGTACGTGTTACAACTTGGGATACATACTTTAGTTTGTAAGAGCTGAATAAAAGTTATGTCTGTGACGTCTGCATCATGGAAATGGGATATTGGAGACTATCACATTTTCTTTTTCTTAGGATTTGGAGTGGATCAGTTACGAGATGATAATCTAGAAACTTACTGGCAGTCAGATGGATCACAGCCTCATTTGGTGAACATCCAATTTAGGTACTGAAAATTACTCTATATGGGTTAGGGTGTTTTGTATAATTCTGTATTGATTACTGTTCACCAAGATAGGAATTCTGGACATGCAAGGACTCCTGGGTTAATCTTGTTACTCAACTGCTAAAGAAGCCAGTTGGATAGAATTTATAAAAATGAGATTGTCAGACATTATGGTTACTAAATGCCTAAATAAGCAACAAAAAGGGATGTTTAATAGTATGTCATTTGTAATGGTTTCTCATTTACTTATCTAGGGTGACACTTTTGTCCTGGCTTTCTGTCTTTGAGTGTAGTTTGAAGGGTAGATTACTGGTTTTAAATAGTCTGATATGACTTAAGAACTGATTGTTTTCCTATCCCGTTCTTCATAAGATGATGTTAGATATTTGTCACCTTTTTATTTGCTCACTGCAGAACTCTTTAGTATAGTAATAGAGTCCATATTTGATAAGCTAAACATATGCATTGTGGCATACAAGGGCTTATTTGACATCTTGGCCTTTTGTTTTATTTCTTGGTATACTGACACTTCTGAAGGCAAAGGAGAAGAGAGAGAATCCGCTCACGTGCACAACAATGTGGATAAACACCTAGTTGCTTTAAGGGCAGGGTTCTTATAAATCACTAGGCACGCTTGCATTAAGTTTTAGAACATGTAAGTCCCTAGTTATTACAAACTAGCAACAAACTCATCTTGAATATTTTTCTTAAGGATGCTTACATAGCTTTTGTTGCTTCCTGCAGAAGAAAAACAACAGTGAAGACATTATGTATTTATGCAGACTACAAATCTGATGAAAGTTACACTCCAAGCAAAATATCTGTCAGAGTAGGAAATAATTTTCATAATCTACAGGAAATCCGGGTAGGTCAATGATGCTTTGCTTTCTGTCTTAAAATAATCCTCATATTAGGACATCTGATGTAGTAAAATTATTTTTGGAGGTGAAACACAGCATTGTGCTTGTAGGGGGAAAGTGACTGGGTGCGTTTTGATGTTTGCTTTTAGTTTTTACTTTACAAATTTACTGGACTGTTTCTGTTTTTTATCAGGCTCTGTTACCAGCATGGTTATAACAGGCTTGATATGTAGATCCTGTAATGGAATAAAGAGTGGGACTTTCCAGAACAGGGCTGTTTAGAATTGATTAAACTTTGATCTCGCTTTTGGTATCTGCAAACTCTATGCATTACATACATCAGAAGGGAGGCTTAGGTTTAAATAATTGCCTTTTTAGACTGAAAAAAGACGTGAATTCAAGCTACGAATAGGTTGCTCAGCTAACTTACTATGAGTCTTACTATGAATCAGAATTTAAACCTACAGGCTTTAGTTATGGCTGTGTCTGGTGCATTTGTATGGCAAAAAAGAAACTGGGACACAAGGCCTGATCATCAGTTATGCAAATGTTTCTTCGTATTCTGGTGGTTTGAGCATCTTCATGTGAGCATCTGTTACATATTTGCTAATAACTGACTCTAGCCACTACTGATAGTGAGAACTAGTGGAACTGCCAAACTAACTTTCCATAATCATATACAGAACAAGCAAGATGCCAATTTAAAATGGAAGTCTAATGAAAACTACAATTAAAAGTGTTCATAAATGCTGTTTTACTTTTGAGTATAGTTTCTAATCTTTTGCAGTGCCGTTTTTTTTATACTGAACAGTCATGGAGACATAGAAGTTTTGGAAAGGAATGCAATGTCTTTGTTTTTAACAATATGATGTAATTTCCATTTATGTAGATATGATATTTGATATATATATAACTTTGAAAGGGACGTGTAGTGTTTTACTAGCCTATTTAGGAAAGTGTAATAGGCAGACCCAGTATTTTTTTCATGGTGACACTTATAGTCAGGAAAAGTTTCTTTGATGGAACAATTGAGATGAGATTTGAATTTAACTGCTTAGTTTTGCTAGCCTTTTGGTAAATAGTAAAAACAGATTTGAAATAATCCATGGGCTTGTAGAAGTCTACCTTGTAAACTACTCAGGTTACCCATGAAGATACCCAGGTATCTTCTTTGCTTATTTTCGGTTATAGTAGCCTCATGTTTCAAATTCTTCTTCACTGGAGTGCAGCAGCTACTGGCTGATCTATTGGGAAAGTTTAATTTACCTCTCTTATATGGAAGGCATTATTATAATGGAAGGATTGGAATGACAAGGGTGGTGCTAAATAATGGGTTGAATTTTTACTCTTGGGATTTGTATTGTTTTCACGTTGGTTTTCAGTGTTTGAAGTCCTAACAAGAGCAACTTACACGTAGAAGGTCGTAAATGCAGTGGGAATAAATAGGAAGTGTAGTAAGCATCTACATGTCTCTTATATTGGCACTATGTATCTATTTATATCCTTTCAATGATTTCTGATGTTCTCTCAAGTTTTGACCTATACTTTTATCCTAAATCTTAAATGGAAGGGTTTGTTTTGTTTTGGTTTTTTTTTTTTAACTTAATGTGCTCTTGAAAGAAATGAATAATCACATTACTTTGACTTCCATCAGCACCAAGCCCTGGGTTTTTTTCCATCATCTTAATTGTATTGTAGCAATGTGGGAGCTGCACATCATGTAACAGTAACAGCAGCTGGATCCTTGTGCTGGGCTACGGGTCTGTTTTCCGAGTGTCCACTAGATGTCATTGTTGTCCTTAATTATCAGTTTGATGTGTGCTTGTAGGTTACTCTTCCAGTAGTCTTCCAGATTTATACTTTTATAATAATTAGTACGTTTATAATAATGATGTTTAGTATGTATAACTACTGCAACAACTTAAGTTTCTTATACAGTGGTAAACTTCCACTTGTCAGGGTATATGCGTTATTAAAGATTGTAGAAACAATAAAATGTGTAATAAGCGTATTGGTATTCTGCAGTTTCGCAGGCAATATTTCTTCAGCTTTTTTTCCTGAAAAACACGGGATTCTTTACATAATGTACTTAGTTAAAAAGGCACTTCTAAATGAAAAATCTTACTACTATCATTTATAGTATATAAATGACTGTAATATTTGCATGAGAGCAGTAATTCTTATGCATACCACATGGTCATATGCTTTTTTACTTCAAAACTAAGATGAAAATATGGTCAAGCTGCTTAGTAATGACTTTTAATACTTTGAAGTGATGAATACTTGTGACTTTGTTGCCACTGTGATGTTAAATATTGCTAGCAATTTTCACATTTCCTAAGCTGCTTGAAACTCAGAATATGTTTCTACAATTTTTCTGAAGTCCTGAAACTTTCTCTTGTCTTCAGCTTCTCTGACACAGAGGCAGGTTATTAAAGCAGTGTGAACAGTTACGAGCTCTTTAGAGAAATCTGCTTAATTATACAATGATTCCATTGGCTTCAGGACTGATTAACTGATGGGAAAATCCAGCTAAATCATTTTATAATTTTCCATGGATGTTTGTCCAGTTCATAGTGTCTAATGAAAGTCCTGTGATGCTTCCATATGTTTTCTTCCTGATGGTCTAATTATCAAAACAATGCAATGTACTATTAGGCCAGATTTCATCACTAATATAAGATTAGCTTTAGTTTGTGGTCTAGTGTGTAGGCATGTCCTTTTTGGAACTTAAGATGGAATTACTTTCTGAATAGAAGTTTAGTCCCGTTTGAGAAACAAGTCGTTTGTACTCCATCCTCGCCTACGGGTGAGAACAACCATCATAATCTGGTAGTATTATTCCCTTCCTCATGTGGAAGAACTATAGTTAAAATATGTGCAATAAGCGTTCTCCTTTGACTTAGTGCCTTTTTATCACAGCTGTCAAGCTTGGAGAGCAAATGTTTTCTAATTTCCAGTCTGAGTTCTCTCACATAATGGTGTAAACAGCCTCCATGAACAAGATAGTCTACATAGGCATTTTTGGAACAGCATCCAGTTATTGCACTTTCTCGTGATACGAGAAAAGTATGTGAACAAAATGTTGGCTGCAAGATATCTCTGCTCTTTTCAAATAATGCTCACCTGCTTGTTGCCTTTATACCTCTCCAAGACATTTAGGTCATCAGCAGTTAATCTTTGCATAAAAAGATTGTGTTGTGACCTAAAAAGAAAGTGATGCGGAGTGCAGGTAGGATTTCAAGTAATAGTTGCCTAGTAGTTTCAGTGCGTTCTGCTGTCAGCCTGTAACATAGGGCCTTTATGCAGCAAAGGAAGACATCTGTAAACTCTTGCATTAGCCAGTTCTATGTCTTTGGGTATAAAAGACACTTTGGGAAGGTTTGGGTCAGGCTTTCTGAAAATAGTTACTCGCTTCTCACTTGAGTTCAAATAAGAGAAGCCACTGGTGTTTAATCACAAAATTAAACTTGCTTTTAGAGGCAGAACCTCTGAAAGAAATTCTTCTACTCTACTGTGCCTGTAGAGGACTCAGCAACAGAATGTGGTGTGCATGTCCTGGCTGTAACTAAATGAAATGCAACTAGACAGGTATAATTTCCTTCCTATTCCAGTAGGCGTTAGTTCTTCCATCACATCTTGGACTTTCCTGTGATTTTTGGAGTAGTACATGTGTTTAGTTGTTAGCGTAGTTCAGGGAAACTGCAAGTTTTGTGATCGTTCCAAAATCATTCGTAGTGCATGGCATTACTATGTGTAATTTGCTTTTCAAATTGTTTAAAGGTAATAATAATTCACATGGCAGATAAGATGTATTAATGTTCAGGCCTAAAAGGAAATTATCAGAATTGCCCCATTGAAGGGGGAGACAGGAGGCCACTGTCTGCGAATGTGCTTTCTATATGCAATAGGGCAAATCTGCAAATGGATGGCATTATGGCTTTGTGTAACCTAGGTAAGCAAGGTGTTTGCTTCTTTCGGAAGCCGTTCAGTCTGAAGCAGGGCTGCTAGAATAGGGTAAACTCTGGCTCACAACCTTTACATTTATGCAGTGCTCTGTCACTGGGCAGGCAGTGATTGATAGCCTTTGTAGGAAAAAGATTCTCTGTCACTGGAGGTCCTGTGTAGCACACTCTAAGCGTGATACCAAGTATTAAACATTGCTTTGGAAGAGGCCTGCTTTAACTCACTGGCTGTACTCTTTCCTTCTGGAACAAAAGCCTACTTAACCTTTCCAACAAGACTTGGTTTTATATATATATATATATATACACACACATACTGAAGGTGACTTTGAAGACTCAGGTGAAAGCCCTGTTATCTTAATATGTCTTTGCTGGCAACAGTGAAAGTCCTTGGTTTCAGCTTTTTGTTTTCTGTTGAATTGGTCTCTATTTGGTTTTCAGTTTGTTTCCTAGCCCTTTTGGTCTTGGTGTTTTGCAGCCAGGTGCTCCAGAGCTGTTGCAAGCTAGCAGCGTCCCTGGTGGTGTGGTGTTGTGACCAAGCACCACGGACAGAGCCGCTTCCTCACTCTTGGAGAAGATTCTGCATTAGAGCAGGGAGTTACCAGACAGAGGAAAGGCCACACTGGGGAGCTTTTTGAAGAGGTAGTTAAGGAATTCTGACCCTACTGTAATCTCTTCATGCCTACAGTGTCCAGTGGTTATAGTGAAGAGTCTGGACTTCTCAAGACGTTTTCTGAAATTCAACAGCTAGCAATCTCAACCTGGTTTCTGTATGTGCAGTAAACTTACTGATGAACAAGGAGATGCTAACTTGTCATAGGACTGTTGCAAACTAATGAATCAAGAAAATGCACTGCTGCTGAGTCTCTGATCAAACATTTCTGAAGTGCATTTTGAACTGCTTTCCTCTGAAGTTGGAATACCAAGTTACTACTGCTTTATTTAGATTCCTGACTACGTTTCAGGTAATTTGATTAGAAACTATTCCCCTCTGTTCCTTTTTCAATGTAAGAAAAGATGCATTTCTGACCCTTTATTAT